TTCAACTCCTAATTTATGAATTCTGGATCGAATTATGCCTGACAATTTTGCTTAATATTTTACATTTCCGTCAGCGAAATTTCGCTGTTTCTTATTTGCTTGTTTCTTCTTTTTTTTAAATTTAAACCTTTTCTGTTTAACATTATTTGCATTTTGGTCTTGTTTCTATTGATTTTTTTAACCATTATTTGGATCTTTTGCACGCGGCTGAATTCTAATTCGTAGACTTGGCGCAACTCGAAGCTAATCTCTATCTTGAGATAGAATATAGTCTTTTTTGGATTATTTTGAAATATACGTCTTCTCATATTCTCCTTGCAAACTTTTCAATCAAATTCACAACTTCCCTTCATAACAAAATACAGAAAAAAGTTGTCAAACTTTTCTCATTCAAATGATTGGAAGCATGCGGACAACTATGTAGGAAAACGATATCTGGAAAAGGTAGACCGAAACGTCTACTTCGACGATGTCAAGCTTCAAATGGACGCTAAGCTATGGGGAGAAGAATACAACCGGCAACCTTCTGTTTCAAAACAAGTAAGTTTTTTTTCCATCTTTAATCCTGTGACTTTTTTTTTGCATAAAATTTCAATGGACTATGCTTTATCAATACAAATTGTATGCATTATTTCTTTTGAAATCTTATTTCGTCTACTTCCCTCACTTATCTCTGCATTTTTTCTACTACTTAATAATGCTCCTTAAAAATGAGAGTTTTTTGTACAATTATGATGCTGACAGACTTGCTAATATTTGTTTCGTTTCTCTTTCTGTTCTGAGTGAACTAAATAATATATTGGATATGAAGACCAAGATGGTGTGGCCTTTTGTACTCAAAGTATTGTCTTGTATTGTCCTTGTACTTTGTCTAAGTATTTATGATGATTTCAAGTATCGGACCTTTGACTTCTTACATTCACAGACCTTTCACTGGCTTCGGAATAATATCTTTTTCAGATAAAATATTAAATTTATATGTAGCTTCAGTATTGTTGGGTATTCTGTAAAATTTATTTTATTTTGCATGATTAAGATTAGCTATAGGATCTTGCTTTGCCATATTTTACGTAAAAATTACATGGTTCAATTAGTGATTCGATTATAAAAGTTGTTTGAACTTGTTTTAGCAACTCTGTAATATTGGTAGAAAGAGCTAGAGAAGCGCACCTAGTCCGGAATCCATAGTATACATTATGCTTTCCAGAGTCAGACCGTGGGCGTGGTATACCTAGACTTTGCGTCAGCATCGTAATCGGCATCGTCAGTGAACCTTGCCATTTTTAGCATCACACGACAACTCGTCAAAGAGACAAATGAAGACGATCCTTTTGACCAATTGTCTGCCAAACAATTGTGGAATCTCTCCTTCTGCCCAGGGCTATTCACCAATCTTATGTTCTCGTATCACCCATTCATTCTCATAATTTTTTTATATGTGGTATAGTGTGTCCCTTGTTAGCGGATTTCATGAGTAATCTCCAAACTCTACGCTGGCTTTTTCACCCCTTCACCGCCTTATCCTCCTTCCATAAGTCTTATTAGAGTCTCCATCTTGCCCCGTATGCTCCGTCTCCTATATCCCTGGTTCAGGTATTCCATTTGACTACTGCCACCCTATATATGCTACTCAAGGCGTTATTTTCCACTGCCTCAAGTCTTAGATGTCATATATACTCCTGTCTCGCTAAGTAGGCCGACAAAGTCTGGATTCTCAAGCTAAACGACAGACTCACATGATACTATAGATCTGGAATAATTCACATGGTCAAGCCTTTCTGAATGGACTACCTCTGTGATCAAGCACGTCTACTGTCAGCCAACTAGATACAATCTCCACCGCGTCTATCCCGTTCCTATCCGTAATACCAAGTATATGATTTCCTATGCCCTAGTCTCATGTGGGCCAACCCACAAATGTTGTGGTACTACTTGTTTTGATTAGGTTCAATGTAGAACGACAACATTTATGGGTAAGCACAGACTAAGGCATAGGAAGTCATTGACTTGCGCTTTTTCGTATTTTCACCATATGTAACCAACCTTTTGCCGATTTCGTATTCCGTTCGTGCAACGTGTTCCGCTATTTCAGATCTTTATCTATCCATGTTTTCGTATACCGATTTTTCCTCCTGCTTCACCCCAATATACATCTGTTCACAGCTGCTACATTTGTTGCGATAAACTCCCGAGCAATCCAGTTTGCCAGTTTTCTCGTGTTGCGTCGGCAGACTGGTGCAAGTTGTTGTCTTCATCTTTATTATCACCTTGATGTCTGATTATCTTATTAACTGTCATATTTTTTGGCCTAGTTCACAGGAGGGTAGGCATATCCACATTTGGTCGTCCTGATTCGTGATCTTATTTTTAATAAAATCCGAGTTGAAATCTGCCTTATATAACCTCTACATTTTTTTCCTATAAATTCTCTGGGGTATCTGTTACTAAGGCAAATTTGAATAAGTTTGTCCAACTCATCGTCCTAGAACTCAGTGTCCGTTATTTTTCAGCTTTAGGGACTTTAAACCAAAGCGTAAGACTGCAACCAAACAAAAGGCCATACCATAGTGTTCTTCTTATCTACAATGTAAGATTTGGTAGTATTTAGAACTTAACAAAACAGCCAATCTCATTAATAAGAGAAACAACTGTAGAACATCACCTGCTAATTGTTTTTAGCTTCCGTAAGGGAGAAGGATTGATTAGGAAGAACCGCTGAACAAGTGGAGGAGACTACAATAACCTCGAGTCAGGTTAGAGATATCACTTGAACATTGCATATAGGAAAAAATGCATATGCTTGCCTAACCACGCATTATTAAGGAATCTTACGTTGGCTTATTTACTTAAGGAAATAGCCGCCACCTCATCCACTTTCTTTTTCATGAATTAATTTCATCCATCTGCAAGCACGTAGGGTAGGCATGGCGTAATCAACCCAATTAATGGATGGTTAATTGAGTTAGGTAAGTTGGCTTGCGGTCGGCCCTTGTTTCTCTCAGTTTAGTATATTGGTGCGATATTTTGAGAAACATGGTTTTGGTAATCTTTGTCACACGACAGACAAAAGCTTGGCATGGGTTCATCGGGTTAGCAGAGGACTTTTTCACGCAATCCTTCAATCTTTATACCGCCGCAATTATCCTTCGGTTATCGGTGAGAACTATTTATAACTTTTTTCCTACCAACCTTAGAAAGTTCAGTGGCTGATAAGCGAAACTCTCAGTTATCGTTTAATTGTTTTTTATTTACATGCTTATATTAGATAGACTAAGTGAGATAACTTGGCTCTTATGATTACCCTATTTAATAAGAGATGATCACTTAACCACTAAGCCTAAGCAAAGATTGCTATTTCTATGTTGTAGAATTATGTGTGCCAGGTTAAAGCGCTTGATAAATCAACTGATAACTTTTCAGTCTACATTGGAATATTTTAGGCATCTTCATTTTACTTAACCTGTATGCTTAGCCTTGCGGAAGAAGGAGGAAAAAAACTTTTCTTCATTCAGTATACGTATGTTTCAGAAATATCAGTAAATCTTAAATAAGAACTAAGTCCCTCTAAGCTGCTTTAGTTGGTTTAAGCACTGATAGAGGAGTTTTTTACAATTATATGAGTAGGCCTCACAATGTGAATGTATTTTAATTAGATTTGTTCCTCATAATACTTCAAAAGCTTATCCTTAGGGAAAATAAGTAAAGCAAAATCTCGCCCAGATTAGGATTGGTTTGTATTGAGGAAAATAAAGTGCGATCGAATCTACTGTCCATTCTGGATGGGCAGAAGTGCTAAAAATCAAGATTAAGTGAAATTTAATCGTATCGTGAGACATTCATATCGCTGTCAATCCCTAAGTCACCTTAGCTGCTTGGAGTGACTTAGTTCTTATCTAAGAATTACTTAGTTTCTAAACGCTATATTGAATATAGTTAACGTCTTTGTTGTATTTGTAAACACATGATTGCCCTATCGAAAATTCCATTATAAGTGTGATTTGAGGAAGGCTTGCCTTGAAATTAAGATCGGCTTTGTCAATTGCTGGTACTTGTGGTTGTGTGACCAAGTGATATCGTGTCGCCGTAATTCGGACTACTCGGTTTCGGAGCCTATTAGTGCTGCTGATAAGGACCAGGATATGCCAAAGCAGCAGTCCTTCTTGATCGAATAAACCTTCCGGGAGTCAAATGTAGGTAAAATTCACTGGTATCGTTGGTTCTACTTGTATAATTGTAAGAAAAGTAACCAAAAATCCTTAACATACCTTAAGCAACTTTGATTGACCAGGTTTTTGCAAAAACCTTTTTTATTATTCTCCAATTTTTGAAGGTATATCTGCAATTTCAGGTAGGCCAAATAAATCTAACCCATTCTTTACCTAGGCGAGCATAATAAGCTTTGTTCTTACGTATTTCATTTCACAAAGGTTGACGAGAGTAGGTTCTTTCACTAATAAATACTGATATCAATATTGTTAACGAAATCGTTGCTCGCTATTTGAGCTAACCTTTACATCTGTTGAATGTCTTTTCGTACTTGAATTTATATTTTACCTTTGTTATTTGCTCTTATTTTGCTTATCCCTATGTGTTGTAATTAATTTTTCCTGCTGTTCCTTTATTTGAGGTGGATATTTTTCAAATGTGCGTTGTGGAGCTTAGGGACCTCCCTGAAAAGCCGCTCTATCACCTAGAGAACTTCATTGAAGGTACCTATCGGAAGTATAACTCGAATTCTGGATTCGTCGATGATTGTATGCGTAATACTCCCCAAGTAAGTCCTTTTGCAAAGTTATATTGCCTCTTTTCAATCTGAGCACTACTTAAGTTTGAAATTTTCCGAATGAGTTACAATAGATTAGCCAAAGTAGAATACATCATTATATGGGCTTCTTAGTTCTATTAATCTTCTTTTTGTACCTCAGCCTCATTAGCATTAGTAGTCCATTTGACTACTAAAAATTCTTGCCCAATCGTATTTAGTGTTCATAAGTTTATTGGCCGCTTTTCTTCCTGGCTGCATTACTAGTATTTTGCGATTTTAAGCATTATACTATATAGCACTCTTTTGGGATTCCTTGTTGCCACATCTTTTTGGCTTTCACCAATGTCACAGTTTATTCAAATATCGAAACCATGTCCACTAGTACTTTAGAAATCAATACATTCAATATTTTATTTTATCTCCTATTTAAGTGACTACATTCTGATTTATACGTACTAAAAATGTCCCTCTTGACCTGGTATACGAGGATCGACTGTTTTCTCAATTTTTCGCTTTACTGCTGACACGTTTCTGAGACATAAACACATAATAAGACGAACGAAACCTATTGATACATTATTGGACATGAAATCTACCCAAGAGTTTTAGCATGCACTTTGGATATTCATTTTGCTTATTGATCACTCTCTTAAAGATCGATATAGAGATGACGTCATTCATAATCCAGGTTACAGAAGAGTTAATATCATATTTTTTAAGACTACTATCTATTAATTGTAGGGAATCCATTATTATCCTACCATTTTCATTCCTTATGTGTATATATGCCTAGCCCTTGAGTGGTTTGACCTCATTTTTCCCCACTTCTCCTGTCAGAGCGACCTCGATAAATCTTGTCCGGTTCCCATATCGATTATATTCTTTATACTTTTCAACTTCTGACCTTGGACTTGAAACATTTCCAAGTTTGCCTGGAAATAGGTATGAAGACCAAGATGGTGTGGCCTTTTGTGTGTTCGCAGTCTCCTTTCGTTGTATAGAGCC